TTTCAAGTACATTCAGAACATTGGAAACCCTGACTATTAGAAAACATCTCTCTGTTGCTTCAGAGGCCATAACAGACTTTGTTGATTTAACAACAGTTGATTTAAAAGATCTAATCAATTTCAGTCCAACTCTCTCAATAACCTTGGCCAAAACAATAAACAGTTCAACATAAAGTGCCAGTTGCACCAACAACGTAATAAATAGTTCAACATAAAGTGTACCATTTAAAATAAAATAAAAGTGCCAGTGATTGACCTCAATCCCTCCTATTCTTCCAATATCCTGATGAAAAATAAAATCTCTCTGTTGCATAGGCCGCTGTTTGATCAACGCGAATTTGGTGTGGGTCCTTGTACTCCGAGTCGGGCTAACGTCCACGCTAGCTTCCACGCTAGCTGCTATATGTTTTGCATTGAGGTGATACTTGAGGCTTGATGTGCTGCGGTGATATGCGAATTCCTTTTTGCATAATTTGCAAACAACCGTGCTCTTATTGACGCTTCCATCCGTCCGTTTTTTAAAACAAAATGTCCCATCCACGGGGCCAACCAAAGCGGTCTCATCAGCTTCTTCGTTCATGTTTGACTATTGTTCACTGTGGTTTGTTGTTGTCTGAAGTAATGAACGTTAGTTGGTGCTCCAGTATAATCGGTACCCCTGAAACTCATCCAGTGAGAAACGTTCCGCGGTGCAAAAATGAGTGCGATTAAAATGCGTTAATTTTTTTAACGCGTTAATTTTTGTGTAATTAATTAATCTTAATTAACGCGTTAAAGTCCCGGCCCTACTTGTAATGTTATCTTAATTGTCTGTTCTCTTGTTTTTTGTCCTTTTTGATGTTGCAACAAGTAAATCATGAGCTATGGACTACAGGAAGTTATAATGCAGAGTTTTAAATTGATAATTTGCACAGAGGATTTAGCCTTTAGTCTCATTTCTCATCTGGTTTTAAATGCTAACAGACAGTGTGAGAGTAATGCGAGGAGACAAGAGTTTTGGTAGCATGTGGCTCAGAAGTCTGTCCCTTTAAGCCGTGTGAGATATCATACTGGGACCAGTTCCAATTGAAACTTCAGAGACTTATTTTCTCTTTGGTTTCCAATTAGCAGTAAACAGATGATGCTTCCTGCAGACAGACGGGAGAGAGCACGAAGTGACGTACAGCAAAGCCTCTGGTGACTGATACCAACCTCACCCTGTTCCTGTGATTTTGAGATTTTTCAGGTGAGTGATTTCCCTTTTCCTCTGCACGCTCCAGATCGGGGGTTGGGCTGATCTCAGTTAAACTCTTAATAAGCCCCATTTCACGGCATGCAGCCAAGAGATTAGATCTGACAGGGCAGGCGTGGGCTAGTACTGAGACTACAGATCTGCAGGCTAAACTCTGGATTGGAAATGTTCCAAAGCCTGGTGCAGCTTGTTGAATGCACAGCTCCTGGCTGCCTGAAGATACCAGCAGCATGATTGTGTGAAATTCCACGCTCCATATTGACCAGCCCACCTGCCATACTGCACTCTCATCCAACCTTTTCTCCCCCTCCAAAGAGACACGGCCATAGGTGGACATTTTATTGAACAGTTTTCATCTTTCTTGCTGGCAGATGTTGGTGGAATGCTGACCTAACATCCTTTCTGGATCCCTGGAGGTGCTTTGCCTACATCAGATGAAGTGTGAGCTGCTGCAGCATCATCTTCCACATCAAGCTAAAGACTTGTTCTCACAGCCCGGTGTGTACATGCAGGTGAACTCAGCTTGCCATTTGGCTTAAAGGGAGCTTATTAGGCTCGGAGAAGGAAACACATTTTCCACAGTGGGCCAAGGCCACAGAGGGATGATTTATATTATGAAAGCCTTTAACTCCACTGGTTATGAGTTGGAGGATGAAGTGGAATTGGAAAGAAATGCTTCAAGAGACAAGATGTACTCTGGCTAGGTGACTAATAAACAAGAGGATGATATCTCAAAAGCCCTGCCCGCTCCTGACATCTGGCATTGAATGAGACATGTGTTTTGTAAGTTGTTGATAATACAAATGACCCACTGTCTGACAATCCCTTTCCTCTCCATCTCTGAGCTGCTCTCTTTCCTTTGAATGTGTAAAAAGAATCAATGTACCCTCAGCGTGTTTGTTGCAGAAGGTAACTCAAGGCCTGATAGTGAATAGATTTGAAAAATGTTTCTTCCTGTACTTACACAGGTTTCAATGGTAAACAACATGATAAGAGCGTATGGGTTTAGTTCATGATTTAGATACAATGCATCTGCAATAGACCCGTCTCAAAAGTTGTATTATGTTTCAAGGTTGTATTTCTCAAAGAAACCGGCAAATTATCATTTACTTTTTACATTCCATTTTTTATTATTATAGATTGTACAACTTGTAAAGGGCATAGCTATCACACAGACACGACAAACCAAGAGAAGCAGGAGGAGGGTTACAGTGTCAAGGTATTATACCCATTTGTGAAAACTGACAAATTAATGGTTACAAATTTGATCCCTCAATTTATTTTCTTATTGCACATACATGAAAACAAAATTCCCAGTTGGGGCTTCAACCATGAACACTAAACACTTTCCACCCAGGCAGTGGATTGTTGACTGCAGCATAGCAAACCCCCCCCCCCAACCCCCACCTGTTATTTATTTACACTGTTTATGGTATTTATTTTCGTGCACTCTTTAACAGGGTGAATCATGGCCATTTTCACTCCGGTCAAACTTTATTGTAAACATCATATATTGTAAAGCTCACTCTTTTGTCAATGTAGAACAGAAGCTGCTTTACCTGCAGCAATGTCAACAATGTGTACATACTGCCCCCTAGAGGTCAGAATGTGTCACTGCATTCAGAGTGAAGTTCTGTAGTAATCCACCCATTTGCAGTAGATACATATTTTCATTTTTGTCATTATTATGATGGGGATTTTGAGCTACAAATCTTATCAAATCTCATTAAATACATTCATAGTTAACTGCATAACTGTCAACACAATGTAGCCTATAGAGTTATGGAAAATGTGAACAGATAGAAAAGCATGTAAGCATTAGAATGGGTTTAGATCAACATCAGATGTAATGTTGAGTTTTATTTGAAAGACATTATAATATCTACTTAGCATAGCTGATCATATCTTTGTTTTATAAGATATGAAGTCAGACAATTCATGTTACTTGTAATTGTGCTGAATAAGGTAATACAACTCAATCTAAATATCCATACTTAACAAAATATTGTTCGCATTACAAATATTAGTAAAAACTGCAAGTATGCAATTTCACTTTAATGTGCTAAAAAAATGGAAAGGTATTAAATGCAAGGCTTAATTGTTTAAAGGACGTGCAGCGGCTTTTAATTACCAGCTAATTAGTTGAGGACAGCTTGCCAATTCACAACTCCTTCATAACTACAGATTCAGATCTTAAATGGAACACTGTGATACATTCAGAATCAATCATGCGAGGTAAATGTCAGCTAAACGCAGAGAAAAGTCACACTTTTATTAACCTGAGGAATTGGAAAGATTTGTATTTAATTAAAAGACTCCCAATGTTAGGGTTAAATTGTGACAGTAGCTATTTGTGCAGTACCCACATGTTTCCTTTCATACGTGTTGAATAAAGCACAGGTGTTCCCAGTAACGTGAACAATGTGTTTAATTGATTGTTAGTGATATTGATTTCAAGCTTTTTATTTCAAAAGTATCTTACCATGTACCGCAGATAGAGTAAAAAAAAATGCTCAAATAAAGCTGCACACACACATTGGACTGACAGTGCATGTGCTTGAATTGAATGGAGAGTAACTAAGGACATAACTCTGCAAAGATTATGTGAGGATTATGTTGTTTGCCATCTCTGTGCTGAGAGGCACATCACTTTGAGAATGTGTATCACTTTGTTTGTGTAACCTGTATGTGAAGAGCTCTCAAGGGCTGCATCAAGTAAGATTCTTCCCCGGCGTGATATGTGAGCTCACTTAAGCTCCTCAGCTTTTTAAGATATACTTCATCACAACAACACAACGCACCAGATATGATCCTCAGTCGCCTTGTCTCCTGAAACCCCTTTGTAACTTTCATCCAGACACTCATAAACACAGAGAGGAGGGCTAGTCGCTTCTAAATGCAAAAAGAAAGGTACTGCTGGCAGCACAACAATCAAGGAAAGAGACAGAGAGAAAGGAGAAAAATAGATTTTAAGTATGTCCACGGGCCAAGTAACTCAAGGGTGTACTATACACAGATTCATACGAAGTATATGCAACCATAAAGAAACATCACATTGCAATATCAAAAGGCAGTGGAGGCCTATTTTATACAGTACACATTGTAAAAGGATTTCTATTCTCCTGAATCCAACTCACCTTCACAGCTTGTATTGTTGTGACTATCTTTCCTTCACAGGCATCCAAAGAGATGGAATGAGACCTGGTAGATTTTCTCTGAAGATATGTAGCCCTCTCCTCTTCCTTCAAAAGCTTTGTTGCCTCGTAACCAACAATGCAAAATCTCTGTGTGATCCTGTGCTACAGCTAGCTGTAGTGGTGGCAAATCATCATCGCACTGCTTTTCTAGGTTATTGATGAATAGAGGCAACACTTTTAGTCCAACAGCGGGGCACCAACTGAAAGGCAGAGTGATGCAGTAAAGATGAGACTGACATGATAACTCTGGATAGGCAGCAGGAGGGTGCAAACTAGAACACATGAGACTCTATGGCAACCTGCCATATATAGATCATATAGCAGTATGTTGAAAATATAACTTAAACAACTTAGTATAGTATGTGGAATTATTTTTAAATTAAAACGTCATAGTATAGTATGTTAAAAACAACATAAAAATCCACAGAGTATGTTGAAAGATTTAATAAAAAACGACAAGTAAAGCTTTGCGAAAAATAACAAAAAATAAATAAAAAATAATAATACTGCAATGTGTTGTTTTTTTTAAACATATGGTCTTAATATCTCAGAAGAGTAGAGTAACTGGAAAACACTGTATTGTAGTAATAGTTTTGTATTTAGAAAAATAGCATATAAATGATCAGAAACAACAACCTAGTATTGTTTGTTAAAAAAACTGAAAGAATCCCACAGAATAGTATGTAAAAAAAATGATATAACAAAACCACAATGTCAACAATATCAGAAAAAACCGCATGTTAAAAATATAATTATATAAAAAGAAAAACGTATTATAGTATAATGAAAATATACAAAAAACATAGCATTGTTGGTCGAAATACATCATAGCACAGTACTGTATGTAAAAAAAACACGTCTTTTTATAGTTTGTAGAAAATAACAGAAAAACACATCACACTATAGTTGAAAAAATTACTTAGTATATTATGTTGAAAATATCCCAAAAAAAAGTCATAGTTGGGAATATCAGAAAAAAAAAAGATATACTATAGTGTATCAAAAATATAAATACAACATCATAGTATAGTATGTTGATAATATCCTAAGAAACAAAATAGTATAAATATCGAAAATATCATGAAGAAATTCATAGTATGTCGAAAACATAAATAAAACAACACAGTATAGTATGTTAAAAAACCAACTGAAAGGCAGAGTGATGCAGTAAAGATCAGACTGACATGATAACTCTGGAAAGGCAGCAGGAGGCCGCGAACTGACAGAACACATGGGACTCTATGGTTACCTGCCTTCAAAAAGATCATCCGTGTATGTTGAAAATATGATTTAAACAACTTGTAATAGTTTGTTGAAACAACATACAAATCCACGGAGTATGTTGAAAGATTTAACAAAAAAATGAAAAGTAACGTTGAAAATATCCCTAAAAAATTCATAATATTTCCAAATATATCTGGAAAAAATACATGGTATAGTATGTCGGGAAAAAAACAAGTATAGTATGTCGAAAATATCCCCCAAAAAAACCATAGTACAGTATGTCAATATATATTTTAAAAAAAGACAAAGTATAGTTTGTCGAAAAAAAGGTCATAATACAGTATGTCAAAATATATCCGAAAAAAACGCATAGTATAATTTGTCGAAAACACGTCATAAAAAAAGTCATGGTATGTCAAAAATATCCCCAAAAAATTCATTGTATTGCAAAATATATCAAAAATTACGTCATAGATATCAGAAGCGAAAATATCCCCAAAAAAGTCATAGTATAGTATGTCAAAATATATCACAAAAAAAGTCATGGTAAAGTATGTCAAAATATCAGAAAGAAAAAAATAGTATACGCTTTTGAAAATATCAAAAAGCATTGCATTTTGAAAATATCCGATGTCATTATATAATTTGTTGAAATTGAAAATATAAGGAAAAACTAAATAGTAGAAATATGTAGAAAATATCAATACAAATATAGTATGTTGAAAATATCAATACAAATATAGTATGTTATCAGATAAAACGACAAAGTATAGTATGTGGAAAATATCAGTTAAAAAGTAATAGTATCTTTGTTGAAAACATCAATAAAAACAACATATTATAGTATGTCAAAAATGGTGTCAAATAAAATAGTTATATTATTGTTTCTGTTTAGTTCCAGTATGCTTCCACTGCAGTGCATGCCTATTTGTGTAATCTTGTATTTGTCCACTAGGTGGCAGGACACAAATCAGAGAGATGTAATTTCCCTCTCTCACATATTTAATGTTTTTCGGGGGGGGATTTTTTCACCCACTTCACTGCGTTTTTTAAAAATGATTAAATAGTGAAGGATAACACTTTACAATTGATTATACAGTCAAAGGTTTATAATGGAATGATTAAAACACTTGAATAATAATAAAATAAATAAAAAATAAAATAAAAAAGTCATTGCGGGTTTTAAGATACGCCAGGAGGGTCAAAATTAACCATTCGCCTCTCAAAATGGCGGATGAACCAACACGGGAATGGAGCGATGAGCAGCTCAAAAGTGATGATTTGCCCAAAAAAGACGTAATAACGTTCATTCAGGACAATGCAGCACACTCGGTATGTTTATAGCGTTAGCCTTTATGCTATTTTTGTTTGAAATTCTGTAGGATAAACATTAACGCACACTTTGAGATGCAGCATGCTGCGTGGTTAGCTTAGCGTAGCAACATCAGAAATGCTGTTGTGTTTTAGCACTCAATGCAGAAACACAGACATGTTTATACGAAATGTGATGCCCTGTTTGAATAGTAACCACAGCTAATTCGTTTGAGTTGCACCCGGATCAGAAACGGTTGCATTTAAAAAAAATGAAAACGTGGTTTTTATGTGTCTTTCTTTTTGCCATGACCGAAACTATTTATTGAGCGAGAGCCTACGCATGATGGTGCAATAAGTTATCATCTGCTAACTTTCTGCTAACTTTCTCTTTGTTATTTCATTCTTTTTCCCTTTTAGTTCCTCAACGAGCACAAGCTGCTGGGAAACTTAAAAAGTGTTGCAAAAACGGCAAAGAAAGAACAACTGATTATTGCCTATAATCAGCTCTTTGAGAGCAAAGTAAGTGATAATGAGATGTGATGTTGCACACATGAAAGTGGGGATGGTCTAATCTATGTGGACTGCCTCACATTCAATCAAAAATGTATGTGTTTTATACTTGCTTTGTCCTTTGCAGCGGTTTAAAGGCACAGAACCAGTTGAAGATGTGACCGAGCAGATTAGAACTGTGAAAATCGAAGATAAGAAAGAGCTACCGGCAGAGGTTATTGATGAGGTACTGGTCCAGGGTGTTTTAATTTTGAGGAGTTTGGGAAGAATTTGTATTTGCAATATTTTAATTTGCACACATTCAAACTACTTTTAACCGCTCCTGTGTTGCTTTTTTCTCAGGGTCCGCCCAAATTCAAAAAGGCAGTGCTGAAGAAAGGTGACAAAACCAACTTTCCAAAGAAAGGCGAGAACGTGAGCTGCTGGTACACTGGTAGCTTGGAGGATGGAACCGTCTTTGACACTAATCTTCCCACAAGTATGACAAACCTCTACTTTAAAGTGATACTGCACCCATAATATTTTTAAGAAACAATGCTTGTGAGAAACATTGACCTGTAATGTAACCATCCCTTTTTACTTTTTGATCTGTAATGGCATTTTTCCTTTATGGTGATGAATACAGATCAAATCTGTGCCAGTTTAGCTGACTGTTTTCTCTCTGCAGCGGCAAGAAAGAAGAAGCAATCTAAACCCCTGAGCTTCAAAGTTGGCCTTGGCAGAGTCATCAGAGGAGTAAGTCGGATGTTTAGGCTCTGCATATAAACTCTCGTCGATTCCTGATCATGTCACTTCTCCTCCACCGCATGCCATTATTGATAATCCTTTACTTTCACAGTGGGATGAGGGTATTCTGACGATGAGCAAGGGCGAAACATCTCGCCTGGAGATTGAACCAGAGTGGGCCTACGGAAGAAAGGGTCTCCCCGACTCAAAGTATCCTTTCTGCTGGACTTGTGGTATTATGTCATGAAAATATAAATGATGTACATTTTTTCACCTACATGTGTAATCAGGTATTGTATGGTTAGTACTTTTTTTTCTCATGTACTGCAGCTTTAATCTGATTTTTTTGGTAACATGTTCATTTCGTATTGAATGCCAAATGTTCCTTAACTCAAGCTCTTCCAGAATTCCACCCAACGCGAAACTGTTCTTCGAGATTGAGCTGGTTGCTGTGGACTAACCGTCAAGTGCCAAGAAAAGAAGTACTCAAATGACCTGGCTGTAAAGGATCATGTTAAAATGGCATTTGGATTGCGCCATACTGTTCCTACTTTGTCTCATTCATCAATACGATTACCAGTTATTGCAGCGTTGTAAGTTTTGGCCAGAATGTGATGGCTTGTCAATATTGTACATAATGAGACACCCTGAAACCTTATTCTCTGTATTTTTCTTTTGTTGTTCTTTTGCATGTGTAATGTAAATGATTAATAAACCTGTTTCAGAGACCAAACATGGCTTCATCAGTCATTGTACAACTATAGGTTTGGATGACAATTGTGTCTTAATTACACACAAGGTGTCATTGGTATAGGAAAACTATTTTGATCCATTAAGTAGAACATCAATATCTTTACCGTTCTGGTATAAAAGCCATGACTAGTATGTGCATTCGTCAAAGATATTTTACATATTCTGGTCACAACCACATCTCTTACATACCAGATGCTCAATTTATAAAAACTGCATATTAAGTTCAGCCAGTACCATTTTAACAACTATAAGCCTGCCATTTGAAAAGGGATACCATACATTTCGGTAAAATAAAAACAAAGCAGGGAATCATTTAAATTGGACATACAATAAAATGTTTTTTAGTCTCATATTTTACATCTTCGGGTCACAACCGTATCTCGTCCAATACCAGATGCTCAATTTATTTTTAAAAAGGCCGGTAAATAACTGCACATAAAGTTCAACTATTTAACGAGTACATTTCTGTAACCGAGTAATATTTTAAAGATGAACAGTTCCCAGCAATGTAAGGGAATCACTTAAATTGAAGGACATAACACAAAACAAAAAAATTTCCAAGCCAGATATTTATTCTGTACAGAAAGATAACATTAAGCCTGGTCAAAAAAGAGCGGTGGTCGTTTTCCTCCCGTTAAGCATTGGTGCACTTAGGAGTTGGCGTTGGGTCCCTTCTTCTTTCCGAAGGTGGGCACCACATTCACAAAGCGTCTGTTGTACTGGATGCGACGCTTAGCACGGCCGGTCTTCTTCTTTTTCTTCTCCTGCTTCTCAACCTGGACAACATGACAGAAAAAGAAATCTCTTATTCTTAACAAATTCACATTCCAACAGTGTTCTTGAGGCCAGTTAAGTTGTTCATATGAAAGGATGAGTTCATATATTGAAACAGGTTTGAAAGAAGAAAAGAAAGTCATACCTTGGGTGTCTGTCCCCTCACTTTTCCAGCACGGGCCAGAGATCCGTGAACCTTACCTGAGGAGGAAAGGAAAGGGTTCATTATATTTTCCTGACAAACTAAAGCTCCTGCAATTGTTCAGGCCAAATACTGTTCCCATTTAAAAACACTAAAGGCTCCCAAACCTTTGTCTAATGAAAACTTTAGGCTAAATGATCTTGCAAATTAGGGCTTGTGATTTAGGGGTGGTGGTTTTTCGAATCATGACAGCCAGAAGTATAGCCAGACCAAACCAATAGAAAATGAAAAGGTTTGCATCAGGGTACTGACCTCCGAGCAGCCTAGCAGCTACTTCCAGGGTGCAGTTCTCTGAGATTCCACAGCATGCCAGGGAAGAATCATCCTCCAGTGGGCACCCAGCAAGGGACAGCACCTGATCCTCAACCAGGAAACCTTCGAGACCCTGGAGATGGGCCTAAGACAAACAACAAGAACGTTTTTAATCAAAGCACTTTCCATCAAAATCATTGCTAGATTTCATAGAGATTATTGAAAACAGTACTCTATTAAAGATCAAAAAGGTGTGGCGTCTTTTCAACAACGTGTAAACATTTTACCTTAATCTGGCCAACTGTCTCCTGTCCGGTCACCTCAAGGGTGTGAGTGCTCTGGGAACGCAAGAAGAGCTGCATCTTGATGCTGCAAGAAAACAAGAAAAGAGCAAAGCGACATTAGTCATTACTAGGTCACTCTGCTAGGAAACTTGTTTTTGTTCTTGATATCAAATGTATTCAAATTCTGACAAAACGTTAAAGCTGCGGGAAATGTTTTATAAGAGTAAAACAAAGAAGAAAATAGTTTAAAAAATGTACAGTTTTTTTAGAATGCTCTGGGGAAGCTTCAAAATCCGATAAAGTTAAGAGGATTCATAACTGAATAATACTTTGCTAAAAAAATAACATTTCATTTTAATATATATATTTATATTGTAATTTTCAAGTCAATGTTATCCAAAGGATTCCAGAATAAAGTTAGGTCTTTACAAAATGTGTCACTAAGGGACATTGCCAAGTGTAGCATTTTTGAAGTACATTTCAAACTGATCGGACTTTAAGAATAGTATTTAATATGATTTGGAAGGAAACTACTATAGCTGTAGTGGGGATATCAGCTAGTGGCGTAAGAAATATCTGTGACAGCAAACGTTGTAAGGCAGGCCCTTAACTTTGAGCCGATGTACAGGAATTGTTGAATAATGTCAACGTAATAAACGAAAAAAGAACAGCACGAAATAAAAAGGGAAATGTTGAAAACTCAGGAGCAGCAGTGCAAAGCAACATGCCGGGAACTGGAACAGCCTCGTCTCTATCGGTAACTCACTAATGCTATGCTAGCTTAACTAGCCACATGGGGAACGCGTTTCAAAAAGTCGTTTTAAAATTGCTTGAATAACTCGTAACTGCTCAAATAAAGTATAACTTGGTAGACATTGGGATATTGATACATTATTGCTAAACCAAAACGTTTCAGGGTTTTACAAATATTGGGTTTTTCACAAAAATTGCACAGGCCTTACCTCGTTTGATGCTAGTCGTTCAACGCTAGGCATAGAAAGGGCTGTATAAGGGCTGAAAGTGCGCATGTGCTGAATTACGTAGCCACGTCGGAAGCTGTGGCCACTCCCCTTACGTTTTGAAGTCGGGTGCTGCAGTTATTGAAGTTGCACATATTAGTTTTTACCATATATTAATAAAGAAGTGCATGTGATTTATCAAAACATTATGCTCAAAGCTCCATAAATATCACTTTATTTTAAGATAGAACCAAACCAATACATTTTCTAGACAACCAGGTCTTTATTAACAAGCAGTGGCTTGAGCAGACCTTGGTTTATCAGGGCAATTCACCCGTTTAAAACTATAGATTTAATTATTCACTTCACTCACTAAAATTAAAAATAAATATAAAAGCCATCAGCTCCAACACAGCAGCTTTATAGAGCACAATTGCTTTTACATTCCATAGTGATTAATGTAATGTGTCTGGACTAAAAACATGAATTTAAGAATGTTTAATGCCTCTGAACATAATTTACCAATAAGGAATGAAATGATGGATTCAACCAGTGACACGTTAGGATACCAATCTCTTTATTATGAAATAAATTCAAAATAAAAAAAGGAGGAACTGTTCATTTTCTGTATGGAAACGTAACCATGTAATATTAAAAATCTTTCAGTTTTGGGAGGGAGAAAAACACGACTCAAGAGGTGCATCCATGAAAGCCTCCTTTACAAGTTCAAATGTTAAACACAGAAAGAGACCAAACTAATTCATCAGAACTAAAAATGTAAAAGCTTTAATCACACAAGAAAAATATATCTGCCTTCACAAATAACATGCATTAAAGAACTCAGAACAGCCAGTGTTGGAGATGAAAAATATAACAATTCATATTGAGTGTTCTTTGAAGATCAAAACGATGTCACAGAGGGCAATGAGTTTTATATTCCAACCAATTGGTACAAAGTTTAATTTATTAGTAGAATTTAACCCAGAAAGAAGGAAAAAAACAGCTTTCATGGTTGGATTGAAATCTCTAAGGCATCATGTTATGTAACCATGAACAGAGATTTAGGCAGGTCACAATGGATGCTTTCCTCTGAGTCTTCATCTTCATGTTAGGGGTTTGTCCATTATGTTGGGGGAGGGGGGTAGTACTGGTTATACTGGGCATATTGGTTGTACTGTCCCCAGGAGTTTTGTCCCCAACCACCGTACTGTTGCTGATGAAGAGGGAAAGAAAAGAGAAAATTACTACAAATACTAAAAACATTTCAGCATGGTTAAATAAAACATGAACTTAAAGCCAAGGTAAAAGGAGAAATGTCCATTTAGAATCACAATCCCGGTAATATCGACGTATTAAGCAATATATGAAATATTAAAAAAACTCAATTTCCCTGTACTTTATATATAAAAATCCAATCATATTTTCTTCCTGTATTCATAAAACGATGTGTGCTTACAGTGTTCATTTTGGCAGCTATCTTTGATTTAGCCTTAAGACAAAAATGGTTATTAGTTTTAGTGACATTTTAGTCCTTTTTATCCTTCATAGTTTTAGTCTAGTTTTAGTCGACGACAACTCAAAACGTTTTAGTCCAGTTTTGGTTGATGAAAAATCATTACATTTTAGTCAACTTTTAATCAAAATGTTTTCTCTCTTTAAACTAATTCAGTTAAATACAGGTATCTGAAATTGGAATCAATGTGACAGTATCAAGTGTTGAAATTCATAAAGCAACATTTCACTCTCAACACTTTACTTGTGTAATATCTAGGGATGGCTATAGTTACGTTTTTTAACGTTACTACTACTCTCAAAAATCTGTGTGCACGCCACTGCAGCGTGTCTGTTAGGCCCCGCCCCCCGCACACAGACGAGACAGGGAGATCGCTCTTCTGGAGTGAAGAGAGCGGAAATAATGATATCGTAATTTAAAAACGTTGGACAGACAAGACTGACAATTGGGGGAAAATATCCTGCATTATGAATGTCCGATAGTCCACCATTAACACCTTAGTCCCATCTCGTCAACGAAAGCTAAATATACATTTCGTCATAGTTTTTATTATCAAGAATCTATTTTTAGCTCCTCACCGTCTCGTCTTAAAAAAGGTCGTTGACGAACATTTTTCGTCATAGTTTTCGTTGACGAAATTAACAATGGTGCTTACGTACGCTAGCATAAAGTAATTTCAATGATAATATCATGAAATCCATTTATCAATCTGCAACACTTAGCCACAAGGGAGATGTTTGTGGAGCCTTAGTCCTCTGCAGCTCTACCCACAATACAGTGTACCTCGTCAGTCCTTTTTGATCAAAATACATAATTAAAAATGCTCATAATAAGATCTGTAAATGGCCATGCGTGCTTGGAAAACTTGTTTAGAGATCAAATAGAAAACCCACCTGGTACCAGTTGTTGTATGCAGTGTTGTTTGCCGCTGGGTCCGTCGCTGCTGTTGCCGCACCCGTTGAACCGTCCTCCACCCGCTGCCTCTTAGAGTCAGGC